CCTATGAAGCGGTATATAAGTCTACTGCTATTGCTATTGCTATTGCTCTGAGCCCAGCCAGGTCTTAGTGATACAAGCCAAATCAGCCTTCTCTGCAAGATGAATGACTTTGGAGCTTTGGCTGGTTTTAAACAAACAGAAAACAAAGATGTGAGTCAATATGGCTGCATATAAGCATGACATTTTAACAAAATCAGGCTTTACAGTGGAAAAGGTTAAATATATTGGAGTGACATTGCCAAATTCTAAAATGTTTCAAAATAAATACATACTCATCTGGAATGATATTAAGACTTATTAAGGTGGGGTAAACTGCAACTATCTCTGTTGGGCAGGATCTTTGTGATCAAGATGAATGTCCTACCAAAGATGTTATTCCTATTCCAGACCTTACCATTATTGATGACTGAGGCTCCATTCAAACAATGGCAAAGGGTGATTTCTAAATTTATTTGGCAAGGAAAAAAACTAAGAATTAGGTATAAATTGTTGCAGGATGCCAAAGAGGTGGTCTGGGTCTTCCAGATTTAAAATTGTATTTCGATGCATGTTGTTTGGTCTGGATCAGTGGTAGGTTGCAGGTGGTACGCCCCGGTATGGGTGTACCGGTGCCTGCCCGGAGCACCGGGTACCGTTCCGGTACGGTGCTCAGGAGGGCCCACCCGCCCGCCTGTCGTCCTTACCTGTCTTTAAACGCTGGTGCTTCTGTGCATGTGCATGGCGCATACAGTGCCTGCGTGATGCTCCGCCGATCAGCTGGAGTGTCACGGAGGCATCGCTGGAGGGTAGGACACATGCGTGTGTTCATGTGGAGGATGTTGGAACCCACCACTGGTCTGGATGAAGGATGGGTGACCCTAAAGAATAAAAGGTTATTGGACTTGGAAGGTCATAAACTGAGATTGCCATAGACAACACAAAAGCATCCACACTCGCCTCTACTCCACTTTGTTCCACCTCTACTACTCCTACTTCAACTCCTACTATTACTCCTTATGAATATTCCTTGTGAGTACTAGAGAAAAGGATCTGCTTCATGCTGCTTTATTTGCACACACTACCACACCCAGGTGTTTTAGCATAGCTTTTATTGCCAACATTGCCCTGCTGGCTGGGGAGAGGGCTTAAATAGACAGGACAACAGCAACATGTGCTCTCTTGTGAAGTGATCAAGTTCACCAGGGAGGGCACACTTAATGGCCCACCTAGGAGAAAGGATTTAGGAGCAACTACTCTTAAATATTTTCTGCCTACTCACCTAACGAGCCTATTCAAATTAGGTGAGAAACGAAACCACACGGAGGACATATATATGGTCCCCCAATCAACTTGTTCAGACTGAAGAAGCTATTTGGATAAGCAGCATAACTTTTCAAAAAAAAAGTCCAGTTGCCATGACTCAACTTCCAAACAACTCTATCTGGATGACAGGGAACTTCATCAACAGGGCTGGTTTATTATCTTTACAACTGGGGGCAGCAACCTCCCCTCCCTGCTTCTCAGTTAAAATAACAGTAGCAACTTGCTGACTTGATGAGCAGGGTCCCACAAAATAACACCCTTTGGAAATATTAGGAAAGTGGTCAGCATGGGCTTCTTTTTGTAAAACATGCTTGAATGTCAACAATATTCGCTTATGACCCATCTTGCTGGGCAGCCACTCCACCAAAATGGAGTAGTAACATCAAGTAGCTGATTTAAGGAATAACCCATTGCTTTCTTGGAACCCCATCACCCCCTGTTGAGATTATTAGCAATAGCAATAGCACTTAGACTTATATACCGCTTTATAGTGCTTTACAGCCCTCTCTTAAGTGGTTTTACAGAGTCAGCCTCTTGCCCCCAACAATCTGGGTCCTCATTTTACCCACCTCAGAAGGATGGAAGACTGAGTCAACCTTGAGCCTGGTGGGATTTGAACTGCCAAATTGCAGGCAGCCGGTAGTCAGCAGAAGTGGCCTGCAGTTCTGCACTCTAACTACTGTGCCATGGAGGCTCATTAAGGGTGATTTGTAAGAAAACTTAGTTTGCAACGTGGTTGTTTTGATATTTATTTTCAGCCCTCCCATGCCTCAATGGTTGGTGGGTAGATTTATTTGGAGCTTGTTCTTTTTTCTCTGTTGATTCAGTTATAGAGTCTGTTTTTGTATAAAGCAACTTAAACATTTTGGACACGGTTTCCTGCTTTGGCAAAATATATTAATTTATTATGGAAAGTTCAAGCAAATATATCAAGGGACCCTTTCAGCAACTCCACTTTCACTTTTATTTCTGCTAAATAAACAAACATTGATAATACAGTGCACACAGTAGACACAAGTTCTATGGTCTCATTTTTATAAATCTCTTCCTGGCAGCTTTTTGGAGTAAATGCTGAAGTCGATTATGTAGCTGCCTGTGGGGGTGGAATTGGCATATCTTAAGATGGCTAGGGAATTTGGTTCCTTGTTAGAAGTGGCATGCTCCTCTGCACTAACTTCTCGTATGTTCCAATTCAACAACTCATAACTACTGGTATTTGTAGCGTGCCCAGGTTTTGGCTTGGTAATAATGCAAAAGTTAGTGCTGTTATTACTTACATTTTTGTTTTCAGATGCCTTTTTAAAATTCCATTAGGTCATCTATTTTTTGTTGCTTGGACAGTTTGAGCACTATCTGTATGCCAAAATTCATTCTTCCTCTTCGCTTCCTCATTCCCATGCTGTAATCTTATCTTGCTGGTAGTATAAAAACAGCTCTCAGCCAGTTGAGAATTGGTCAAATACAGTTATGCACAGGGTCCAATAATTAAAAAGAGGATTAGTCTAGTAATGTAAGGTACAACTGATAATTTACCAGAGCACTCTGATCGCTAGGTGATTTCACATCACCACCTTGGGGGAGGAACCTCTTTTAATATTAGAAATTCTAAGCATTTAGTTCCTCAAACATTATATGGATTTGAACTTTTACCTGGACTGACATTTAATTAATATATATTCTTTTACATTTGATCTATTTTTTCCAGGTTTAACTACAGATCAACACATCATCTTGCATCCCATGGATTTTATGAATTTTTAAATTGGTTTGATGAAAGAGCATGGTATCCACTAGGAAGAATAGTTGGTGGAACTGTAAGTATCGGAAAATACTATTCAAGTTCTCAACAAAAATCTCTTCCAAATTAATATCTATTTAAACTGGTTTTATATTACTATTTTAATTTGTAGTTTGCAGTTAAGAAATACGCATGATACTCAGTTTTTTTTAAATTAAATCAGATATGTGTTCAAATTTCATCCTTTAAATGAGGACTTCCTGTTACTATTAATAGTAATAACTATTTCGCTACCACACTTCCTAAGGTTCAAATACTTTTTAACCAGATTTTTTTAAAACTCCCATTATATAATTATGTTCAAATTTCTTTATTTTCTTGTATCAGGGAATGGAAAGAATTCAGATAAATAAATGAGTATAGACTGACAAATAGGTAGATCATGTAGGCCAGCAGTCCCCAACCTATTTGGCACCAATCTTCTTTTGTACTTTAGTGGAAGACAATTTTTTCACAGACCAGGGAAGGGGGATGGTTTTGGTTTTCCTCACTTGCCTGCTGCTCACCTCCAGCTGTGCGGCCCGGTTCCTGGGTGTAGGCAGTTTCCCTCTGAAGGTTCATTGGAAGGCTTAAGTTCTGGACCCTTTAATAACATATGAGTATACACAGTGTAGTGTTGTCAACTGAGCTCCCTGTATTTCTAAGAAAAAGACAGTATCTATGTAGCCATCAAGTTGAATTATTCTGTTCCATCTCTGCAGTGAGAGCAGCAAAAGTAAACCTTCCTTTTGTAACTTGCCATTTTAATGTAGTTCCATGTATGGATTCTGCTCCTGCACGGTGGAAAAGCTTTTAAAATTAGGTTAGAGTGTTCAGACAAATCACATTTCAACATTAATGCTGTCATCTTGAAGAAGATTAAGTTGATGTTTCTAGCCTCCTAATCCATCTTCAGTGTTTTTTTTAAAAAGTTTTTTTTGAAATTCTCATATAGTTACAGGTATACATTCACATAGTTATTATTCTTATTTATCTTTATCACTTTTACATATTTGTTTTTGCATATAAAATGTTAAAATATACATTCTGGGTTGCTTTGCTTACCATCCCATACACCTATTTTGTATTATCACCACCCTATTTTTTTCTTTTCACCCTCCCTTCTCTACTTCCTTTCTCCTCTCCTTTCCCTTTCCTTCTTCCCTTGCCTCTCCCCTACTCCTCTCTTCCTCCTCCTACCCTCTCTCCTCTTTCTATCCCTTTCCTCTTCCTTCTCTCCCCTTTCCTCTCTTCTCCTCTCCTCCTTTCTTCCTTTCCTTTTCTGTTATTGTGGTTATCTCTTTTCAATGCTGAACTGGTGTATTTTTGGGAAGGTATTCCCGCAAACCCTGTTATAATTTTATGCTTATCCTTTCCTATTCCCTTTTTGTCATTATCATGTCCTAACTATTTTTTTCTCTATATCTCATTCTTGAACATATATGTATATATTAATATTTTCTTTTCTATTTTCCCCCCTCTTCCCCCCTTCCATTTAATAATGTCTCATCTGGTTTCTATATCTCTTCCCCATGTCTTGAAGTACACCGAATCCTCTTTATCTTTTATTCTCAAAGTTAACCTGTCCATCTCTGCACAATCTAAGATTTTTTTAAATTATCTCTTCTTCTGTTGGTATCTTATCTGATTTTCAATTCTGTGCAAATACAATTCTCGATGCCGTAGTTACATGTATAATCAAATATGTATCTCCTTTTTTATATTTCTCTGGAAGGATACCCAATAAAAATATCTCTGGCCTAAGTTCTATATTTCGGTGTAACATTTTCTCTAAACATGTTCTTATCTTAATCCAATAGTTCCTATGTTCCTATCCAAGGTCCACCACATATGATAATATGAACCCGTACGTTGTTGACATTTCCAACATTTCGCCAATTTATTTTTAAACATCTTTGCTATCTTTTCAGGTGACATGTGCCATCTATAAAACATTTTATATAAATTTTCTTTATATGCTGTTGACATAGTTAATTTGTAATTCCTTTCCCATAGTTGTTGACATTTATCTAGCTCAATTGAATAACCAAAATTCTTTGCCCATGCTATCATTGTATCCTTAACCACTTCTTCTAGTCTGATTTTTAATAGATAGCTATATAATTTCTTAATAGGTCTTTCTTCTGTTCCCATAATTATCTTATCCAGCTCTGAACTTCCCAGGTTGAAACCATACTCCTCCTTGTCATTTTCATATCTTGATTGTTTTTGCAATTGTGAAAACCAACCTATATCAGTCCCTTGTTCTTCTAACTCTTGTTTTTGTTTTAATCCCCCCCCTTTCTGTTAAAATAACTTTATATCTATTAATATTCTTCATATTACTGATGTTTGGATGTGTCAACGCTTCCATTGTTGAAAGCCACATTGGTATTTCTAAGTAATGTTTTCCTTTTCCTTTTTCCCATGTTGTTAATAGTCCATTCCTTATGTAGTGTCTCTGGAAATAACCATGTACCCTACTTTTACCATGCCACAAAAATGCATGCCATGTTGCAAATCATTTCCCTCCAAAGTCAATAATCTTGTATTTCTCAATAAAATCCACTCTTTCATATCCAAGTTAGTGCAGCTGCTTGATAGTACAATTCCCAATTTGGTAATCCAAACCTGCCTCTGATTATTACATCTTGTAGCATTTTTATATTAATTCTTGCTTTTTTCCCTTGCCATATGTATTTCCTCACTATTCTATTCATACTTAAAAAGTATTTTTTCTCTAGCTTTATCGGTATTGTTTGAAACAGATATAAAATTTTTGGCAATACATTCATCTTTATTACCGCTATTCTTCCCATTAATGATAGTTGTAATTTCTCTACCTTTACAAGTCTAATTCTATTTGTTTTCTTACCTTATAATAGTTACCCTCCTTTATTGTTACACATCTTGATGTCAATTAAATGCCCAGATATTTCACTTTTTTCACTACCTGTATATCCAATTTTCCCATTAACTCTCTTTTCTGTTTTTCTGTTAGATTTTTCATCAATTTTAAAAAAATCTTTGTTTATTTTCAACCCTGCTACCTCTCCATGTTCCTCTATTATTTCAATTAGTTTCGGTCCTGTTTCTATCGGATCCTCCATAATAAACACGAAATCATCAGTTAATGCTTGTAGTTTATATTCTTCTTTCTTAATCCTCATTCCTTTTATTTCTTTATTCTGTCTTATTTCTCTGTTCAGGATCTCTAGTGTCAATATAAATAATAGTGGCGATAATGGGCATCCTTGCTTCGTTCCCTTTGTAATTGCTACCTTTTCCGTCATATCACCATTTACCATCACCTTTGCTGATTGATTATTATAAATGGTTTTAATCATGTTTATAAACCCCTCACCAAACTCCATCATTTGTAACTGCATTATCATAAATTGCCAGTTCACATTGTCAAAAGCCTTTTGTGCATCCAAGAATAGCAGCGCCATTTGTTTCTCTGGATGAGCTTCATAGTGCTCTTAATGTGTTCAGTACAATCCGCATGTTGTCTCTGATCTGTCTCTTAGGTAGAAACCCATTTTGGTCCATGTGTATAAATTCGTTTAAGAGTCTCTTCATTCTTTTTGCCATTATTGATGCAAAAATTTTGTAATCCACGTTTAGTAATGAAATTGGCCTGTAGGTCTTTACTTGCTGTAAGTCTGACTTTTCTTTTGGTATAAGAGTTATATATGCCTCAGTCCATGTATCTGGCATCTTTGTCTCCCCTAATAACTTGTTAAATAGTTCCAACATTACATTACTTAATACGTCTTGTAATGTTTTGTATAATTCTGCTGGTAATCCCTCTGGTCCTGGTGTTTCCCCCTTCTTTTGCCTTTTAATTCCTTCCATTCCCTTCATTGTTATTCTTTCTTCTAACGTCTTCTTAAATTTTTCTGGAATCATAATTATTTTAGTTTTTTCTAGGTATTGTCTTATTTTTTCCTCAGGAACCCTCTTGTGTTGGTACAATTTTTTATAATAATTCTCAATTATTTTTTTCTTTTTCTCATTTAAGTGTAGATTTCCTTCTTGGTCTATCAGTTGGCTTATCAAGTTTTTTTCCCCTTCTCTTTTTTCATCTTATATGCCAGCCAGCGCCCTGGTTTATTTGCATTTTCAAAGAAGTTTTGCTTTGTTGATTTTATTTTATTTGCCAGATCTTCATTTTCTATCAAATTCAGTTTATGTTTTTGCAGTTCCATCATGTTTTTTTAATTTTTTTATTTTGTGGACTTTTCTGTAACTCTATTTCCAGTCTCTTATACTCCTCTTCCAATTTCTTTTGCATTTGTCTATTCTGCCTGTTCTTTTTTCCTAAGTATGTCGTTACAAGTCCTCTGATATAAGCTTTACAAGTATCCCATATGTTCTGTAGTGATGTATCCTCTTTTCTATTTTTCTTGAAAAAATATATCAATTCTTTTTCCATATATTGCTGGAAGTTTTCTTCAGTGTTATTAGAACCCGTGAAGTATACCCCCCAAATAACAAAAGACTAATTTAGGAGTTTACTTATATTATTTGTGAAGTTCCCAAGAGATGACCTAATTAATTTACGAGCCTCGAGACAAAGTTAAAAAAAAACCATTCATTTATTAGGATCAACATCTTGGCATGACTTTCTGTGGAGCCAAAACTAAATTCCACTTAATGGCGTCTGAACTTTACCCCTGTGTCCCCTCCCCTCTGCCTGAAGTCGTTAATCACATTCAACAACAAGATGTTACGGCAGGTTATAGACATGCACATTCACAGGCCAGCTGCAAAGAATATGAGACTTGATGGGCCAAAAGTATGCATGGAATTCTCCTACCTTCCCGAGTTGATAGTAGTCATGGAAACGCTTTACACGTTGACATTATCCTTGTATCCACCTATGGTCTTGATCATGGTTTAACCACATGTAACAACAGTTTTGATTTGGGCTTAACTTGACTGTTTAGCACACACTTCTTTTTCAAGTTTACAAATTGCCAGATTTTGCAGATATGGACTAAGATAGGTATCAACATTAGGTACCAAGCTCTT